AGGAAGGAAGGAAGGAAGGAAGGAAGGAAGGAAGGAAGGAAGGAAGGTAGGTTGTTAAGAGCAGCCTTGCAAGAGTAGTATGCAGCCACCTGTTTTGTTTCCAACAAGCAGGAAATGAAAACTATGTAATTCCTTATCTCTATGACTAAACCAACATTTCATCATAACTTGTAGGGATTGATGGGAGTTTTCTCTATGATGTATTATTCCCATCATATCGCAAGGTTCTTAGTCTTTGAATTTTGCAGTTCTGACAGCCCATTTGGCAGTGGACTTAAACTGGTGATAATGGCCTAGGTCACTATTGGTCTTGGATCATAACCAGTTGAGGACAGCTCTTAGATTTCACTACACGTTGGCCATCCTCATTCCACCACCAGATCTGCTGGTCTACAAAACATCACTCTTGTTTTGTCACATTTATTACCCTCTCATAGATTCTTGCAATGACCTGTCCCATACCTCTCTTGCTGAGTAGGTAGCATCTACAGGGAGAGGTCCAATGATGTAATCAACTGTTCCATTTCTAGAGAGCTTCCAGCACTTGATACATTCCATAATGGTGGTGAGTTGAGCTGATGGGCACAATTGGAGGTGTAAATCAAGAACAAAAAATGTTTTGTGGAGCAACACTGTCCAAGGGGATGACATTAGAGTCCTTCACCATCTGGGGGTACCTTCTCCACACCACCCAATTATCGATTGGATTCCACCCATGCATTGGATGCACTTCCTTACTTGTTATTTTCTTTTTAATACCCTAAACCAAGAGTCTTCAAACTTAGCAAGTTTAAGACTTGTGGACTTTAACTCCCAGAATTCCTGAGCTAACATGACTGGAGGAGGAATTCTGGGAGTTGAAGTCCACAAGTCTTTAAAGCTGTAAAGTTTGAAGACCTCTGCCGTAAACTCACCTTTGAAGAAATGCCATCTTGAAAACTCAAGGTGGCTAAAATACCTTCTTCCTATTTTGCTCATAGCAACAACTCTGGGAGATGCATTGGGCTGAAAGAGGTGACTGGCCTAACTGGCTTTCATGCCTAAGGTAGGATACAAATTCAGTTTCCATCTTTCTAGCTTAGTGCCTTAATCACTAGAGTCTAGTGGTTAGTGACTAGACCAAACTGGCTTTCTTTTTTATTTATTGTTATGTTATAAAATCTGTTTTAGTGCCTCAGTTTATTTGTTGCAGAATTATGACTGGAGGAATTCAGGATCAAATGGGAATGTATCTACAAGTTTTCTAAATTCTGGTACTTAGGATAAATTTCTGCATTCAATAGTTTTCTCATAAATATCCTATTATTTATTTACACAAGTACAGCACATCTTTTGCCTTCAATTCCAATTCATGGTTCTTAGGATAGCAAAATGAAGTCTTCTCAAACTTTTAACTTTTCAGCAAAGGTAACTGAAAAGAATGCATTCTTCCTATGTACCCCAAATTCCACTCCACTATTCGCCCATTTCTTGTATTGAACTTTAAGTGGTAGAGGAAGTGGTGGCATTGTCTACGGGGATTCTCAGTCATCCAGGTGATGATTGTCCCAAAGGTGCTTTTTCAAAAAGTCAACAGGACTGTTTTTTCTTTGAAAATGTTTTGCTTATCATCCAAGAAGCTGAGGACCAATATATTTTCAAAGGAAGAGGAGCAAAGTATTTTCAAAGGAAAAAAAACAAGATAGTCCAGTTGCCTTTTGGAAAAATGCTTGCATTCTTCTACTAACCAATGATGGGACTAACAACACTTAATCTATGCTATACCACTATTTTCCTCTTTGCAGCTTCCCGCTTTTGAGTCTCTTCTGTTTTCCTTACCCCTTACTCTTCTGTCTCATATCAACTACTAAAGAAACTCAGTTCAGAAGGATTCTGCCAACACTGAAACTGGCCTGAGCGAGAGCATTTTCTGGGCTTCATTGTTGCCACACTGGAGCTGAGGGATAAGGAGTGGGGAATAGAGATAGCTGGGGTTTGTAGCCAAAACAAAATACTTCCTTCTGGGAACCAAGGACATTCCCATAGGTGGTTGGTGAGAGGTGAGAGGCAACTGGATGACGTGATGATTGGACCATGTGACTGTTTGGGGAAGAGGAAAAAACTTTTATTTTTAACTAGGTGAAAACCGCAGGAATATTCAGTGTTGGTTTTCATCAGCCTGTGCCAACATGAATATATCTAATAAACCAGTTCTTTGAGGAATCTACCTGCCTTGGAGATCTATTTCTTATGGGACCCTGACACATTCTTGCTATAAAATCCATGACAGGGCGATTTGTCTTTTTGTCCTGTTTCATATGCCTATTTTTTTCTTCTTTTGCAACGAGGTCAGCGTAAAACATGTTTTTGTGTTAATGAAGGACATAGAAATTGTAAGAGAAAATATTTTAAGCAGCTCTTAGAGGTCTTGGCTTTAGCAAGTCTGACCAATGCATTGTAAAAAGATTAGTTAACATTTTTACTGGGGAAAAAAGATAGTAAGACTGTATTTCAAAGCATTCTGCTAGATTCTAATAAGCCCTTGCTGAACACCATGGGAATTATTATTGAGTAAATATGTACAACTTTCTTTAAATTACCACTCCAATAAATTGATTTGTTAGATTACCCCTACAATAATTACTATTCATATGGTTAGGGTAGTAAAACTACTGAAAGATATCAAACTAGGGACAATTAATGCATATGCATTATTTTTCCTCCTTTCCCGGAAGGACATCCGTTGCTTCATTCACAATGATGATACAGAACTCTTACAAATAATTTATTTTCAAAATTCAAAAAATCTGTATAAAATGCACAGGGGATACCTTATGCACACACAGCGATCCACTCATATATACAGACAGCACACTATACATTTCCTAATGTTACAGAACAAGGAACATTTCACATGGCAGAGGCTTGGATAGAAAAACAAAAGTAGTCCGGAAGATTCTTTCTTCAGGAAACCAGAGATAATACTTGCCATCTCTCTCAAAAAATATCTTATGTGCCTGAAACAAGAAAAGCATCAACAAAGCCTTTCAGAAACCCAGCTGCTTTAATTGGGTAATTTGGAAATATCAGTTCAAAAAAGGGCCTCTGAATAATTTGTTCAGCCTTATTATACATACACAATAATGCATCTACTCTTCGAACCAGGGCACAAAATTTAATGAGCTAATTCATTAAATTAACTAACTTATAAGGGAAGCCAATCAAGTTGTGAATATATTTTTTCTGTTTGTCTTAAAACCTGTTATATAAGTTTTTCTACATAATCAAACATCACATATACTGATGATGCTTTTTTCTGTTCGTCATTTTGACATTTAAACCAGAGAGCTAAATTCAAGATATGGTCACCTTCACCTCACATTCAACATCAGACAAATGGAATTTAAGGCCGTTGAGCATTATTCTGTAAAACTGTATTGGCTGCTGCAACTAGAAATGCTAAAATGTTGTATTTCAAATCCTAATTAAGATTTGGAATCCTTGATACTCTCAGAGTTTGACTGTTTGCTTGCAACATTGCGTTACCCAACTATGTAATATCATCAGTGCCCTGATAATGTTACTGAGCTGCTTAATGTAACATTTGCAAGCAAACAAGTAACTCAAAGAGCACCAAAGACTCCACAGTTCAACCCTGAGCTAAATGTATCTTTTCTATTGGAACTAGTTAAAATGTTTTATACATTTGGGGTGGATCTATAAATTACTATTTTAAAATCAACTACCAGAAATCCAAAATATTTTTATTTGACATTTTTAAATATATACCTTTTAAAGCTATTTCGTTTCACTGATGATATAAGGGGATAAATTCTTGACATTAAAAACAACCCCTTTTAAAAAGTTTAAGAATAACCTTCCACTTAATGTCTCCAAACAATGACATAGATTGCAAGTCAGATATCTGTAGTTCTTCTTAAACCTGTTGCATATTAAAAGAAACCTAGGAACTTTCGGCATAGTAACACTTTACTCCTTCAACTAACTTTATGCTTAAAACTGTTTCCATTTCGTAGCATTCAAGTTCATAAGAAGTCTTCTCTTTACATGTCACTGATGAAGCCGTAAACTCCGTGTTTCCAGCAGTTCCACTCAGTATCCTCCTCTTCCTAACATGAAAACAAAACAAGAAAAATTAGATCTTCCATATCTAGTCTTAAAAAGATGTAAACCTTGGCTGTGGCATTGTCTTTCACCTCAGAACTGCTTTGACTAATGATTTTAATATTCCTTTAGTAAAATCAGCTGTAACCTTCCCAGTGTATGATATTTTTTTCCAGGAAAATGTCCCCTACTCCACCCCACCAAGCTTATTAAATGAAAGTATATAAAAATGAGTAATTTCCTAACTGCGCATCACTGTTAAAAACTGGATAAGGGAGATATTGCCAGGTCTGAGCAGAAGTCCAGCATCGCCGGGTCTTCTTGAAGTGCTGGATTTGTGCCCAAACTCTGGGAATTTCTGATCCTGGCTTTTCAAAACTTCTACAATCCAAAGCCATTTCTATACTGTCTTAATGTCCTTTATTTATCATAACATTGTTTTGTAGTATATTGGAGTGTATTAAGACACATATTTATTCCCAGGTAACCAGGCAGGTTCTTTAATCATTTGGACTGTTCATATAACTTAAATACTCATGCAACATGTTCTCATATTTTGCCACTGGTAGTGTGGAGTTCACATTTCCCATTAGGAAACTAATCTTTTATGACTGATAAGGAACCTCTGATTACTTTGCAAGAAGTACTACATTTTCTTCTAAAGTCTGAAGGCCGCTAATTACCTGAGAAGCAGAACGTCTAAACATCACACAGATAATACAGAATATGCCCACAACAAACAGCTAGATAGATAATTATTCCAAAAATGAGTATTTTGAGGTTATGAATATACTTACCCCTAAATCCTCGGCCACCACCTCTACCTCGTCCTCCTCTGAAGCCTCCACCACCTCTGCCACCTCCAAAACCTCGGCCACCTCCAAATCCTCTGCCACTTCCAAAACCTCTACCACCTACAAACAAACAAAAATAGAAGGGGTCAAATGAGATTTTTCCAGTATCAGGTGAGTGAGAATAGCACAGAGAAAACAGAAGCGTAAATCAGGGGTGTGAAACTCAAGGCCCACGGGTCGCATCTGACCCATGAGGTGCTTAAATTTGGCCTGTGGGGCCAGGCCAGAAATAGCAAAGGACCAGTCCGCTGTGCCTCTGGCAGCCAAAACAGGGGCAGGGGCCCCGTGTGACCCCCCCCATGCCCCATTTTGGCCAGCAGGTTGCTGTAGGGGGGGTGTCCGCCCCATCTCCCCAGCCCGAAGAGAACTACAATGCTGATCTGGCCCTTGAAGAAATCCAGTTTGACATCCCTATCATGAAACAGATCCATAAAGTATGCAAAAAACATTCATAAGAAATTGTAACAAGACCTTTGCTGAAAGATAATGGAGCTCATTGTCAGAGATAGCACCAGTCTTTAAAGCATGAAACTGCCTTTTTTTTTCTTTATAAAAGAACTAAGCTGTACCTAGGAAGGGCCAGCTTAGCAGTGCAAGGAAGGCACTCCTTTTCATTTGCTATCCTGCCGCTATCCAAATAATGTGACTGGGATGACGACTTGGGGTTAACAGACAACTTAATCAGGGATTTGTCTTATATGAAGGAAACTGAAATCAGCATTTCCCTTCCCACTATGGCATTTTACACAACCAATACAAGGGGTTTATTCCTTTTTGCTATGGCTGCTGCATTACCACCATTTATTTCAAACATGTAAACATGTTAATTTTATGGAGAATGAGATTCAGGATGCAGTAAATTCAGGCTCATCTGTTTAGCCCTGGATAAGTTACAATCTCCTTCTAAATTATTCTACTTTCCTTCACATTTCAAGTTTTGCCCCAAATCCAATGAGCAACCCTAGCTGCTTTCAGGACTGTATTGTTTGCAATCTTCTAAAAATACATTTTCCATTATTGCATATACTTGTTTGCTCAGTAAGAAAGAAGTCTACCTACCTCCACCTCGTCCACCTCGCCCTCCTCTTCCTCCTCGCCCGCCTCTTGGGGCTCCTTTCTCACCAGGAGGCCTTGGCAAAAACCTCTGCAGAGGGAGCAATTTTGCTGGGTCTATATAAAACTGAAGGAGAAGATCAGTGTTTGAGACTGATGGCAAGACTTTGCCATGCTTTTGCTTTTGGCTTAAATGTTGCTGTTTTGTTGAACCAATTAAAAATACAGGTAGCCCTCAAGTTACAGCCACAACTGAGCCCAAAATGTATGTTGCTAAGTGAAACATTTAAGGGAGTTTGCCCAATTTTACAACTTTTCTTGCCTCAGATGTTAAGTGAATTTGTTAAGTTAGTAACATGGCTGTTAAGTAAAATTGGTTTCCTCATTATGTAGTAACAATAGAGATCCTGTAGAGGGAGCACGCAGCGTACTGCTGTGCCTAATACACACAGTCCTCTTTGCATTATCTTACTTCCTGTCCCACGCTGGTAAGTCCTGGATTTGTACAATGAACTCATTTATGAACATCACCATTATTCTTAAGGATTGATGGGGGCTTTCACCAATCCTAATGCTGTACCTATGTTGCTTTTTGCTACTTATAAAGAACCATATAAAAGGAATAAACGCTGCCCAGGCAGGCAAACATCCTGGCACCTTGCACAATGACTGGTCTTTGAACTCCATCATCATTGATCTTGCTTATCAGAAGATCCCAAAATGTGATCACAAGAACCGGGGACGCTACACCTGTCGTGAACATGAACCACTTGCCAAGCACCTGGATTCTGATCATGTGACATGGGGATGCTGCAATGGTCATAAGCGTGAAAAATGGTCATATGTCACTTTTTCAGTGCCGTTGTAACTTTCAACGGTCACTAAATGAACTGTTGTAAGTCGAGGACTACCTGTAATCATGATTTCAACTGAAATAAATGCAATAAATTAGCCACTAGTAAATCAACCCATACTTCTTTCAAGAGTGCTGGACTGCACATCACGTAGGCTTAATCAAAGACAAATTAAATCACTTCGTACAATAAACAAGATGCAATCCTTTGGTTTTGCTTTTTTGGGATGGGTGTGTGTGTGTACAGATCCATCACTGGGAGGCAAGTGTGAGACATAACATTTTTGACATCCCACCTTTTGCAAAATTCACAACTTTTCTCTTCCCTTTTAGAAGGGGATTTTATTTCTTTTAAAAATATTACTGCAAAACAAGGGGCTGAAATTATTACCCTGATGAAAATTAAAAATGCGATTACTGATCAGAAGTACTGCAGAGCTAACCCTCAGATTTTAGCCCCATGGAATCCAAGAATGACTAACAAAACCAGAGCAAGCAGCAAAATGCACTACTGAGCATGAGAGAATATCACTGTTTAGCAGTCATAATAGTCATTAATTGTTGTGGGCCACCAGTTGCCACAACTGGCAGCAGACTCAAACGATGAGGAGGCTGGGGAAGGCTCTGATGAATGGTCAGTGTCGGACACAGAGATAGAGCTGGGGCCATCAGGCATTCCCCAGCCAGAGAGGTAGCTGTCTTTGGGCTCAGAGATAAGTGAGGAGGAGGAACAACTGGGGCCTGTTCCAGATACATGTATGTGCAGAGCAGATAGGAGAGGTGAACAACGGAGGACAATGAACCGGTTCGGGAAACAAAACAAACATGGATGCTGATTGGCTCTTCCCTGGCTTGGGAATAAATAGGAGGAAAGGGGAGTTGTTTGGTTGTCGCAGACAACCATTCACATTTCTGGAAAGTTTGCTCCTTGTTTCGTGAGACAAACATTGCATTGCCAGAACTGAGGTTTGTCCATTTGTCTACTTGAATTGACTTAATTTACAGCCTCCTGGCTGGGAGCTCACAACCTTGCATTTATCATAATGAGCGGATAAGGACTATTGCTTCAGTTAACTTCCTGCAGGACTCTAGCCAAGGATTTTCTGTCAGTGAATGCAGTTAATTTCCAATGTGTAAATAAAGAGGGTTTTTTTCTTTGTGGGGAGTCTGTTTCTTGCTTCTGCAAAGGACAGGTCAGAACATTAATATAGTAAGTTACTTTTTCCCTGGGTGTCTCTGGGTGTGTCTGTGCCTGTGTGTGCCTTTGAATCAGTGTTGATTCCTAGCGCCTGCCTAGTCCCTGCAGTTTTCTTGGCAAGATTTTGGAAGTGGTTTGCCACTGCCTCCTTCCTATAGCTGAGTGACTGGCCCAAGATTACCCAGTTCCTTTGTGCCTAAAATGGGACTACAACTCATAGTCTCTTAGTTCTAATCTGGTGCCTAGTTCAATGCCATAGATGTTCAGCGAACCAGCAATTAACAAACCACTACTATTTTTTTAATTATTTGTTAAATTTATTTGCTGCCTATCTCACCATGGGGCTACTTTCGGTGGCTTACATAATAATTAAAAAAGAAGAAAAATGAAAGGAGTATAAACAAAAATAACAGAACAGAACAATAAAGTACACGATGACAAAGGAACACCACAAGAATAATACATCAATATGATAACACTAGCAAGTAGGATGTAAATTTCATGCACATTTTTAGAATTTAGACAGATATTTATGAATAAGATTACATATCACATAAATGGAACATAAGCAGGACTTACCTTTTGTAATTTTTTGAAAGATGAAGCTTTCATGTTTTCCGACAGTTTAACTGAAAAGTACTTTCAAAGTGGCTTAAGGAAAACTCACATGTCTTTTTATCAATTTAATAGTAAATCCTCAAATTTTATGATGATCCATAGGTAGAAATTTACAAAAGACTTTCTTAACCCATTCATGACAAGTCACCTCCATGGAGTGATCATTAAAATAAATATTATGAAACACAGGAGCAACAAACTAACAGCCTATCTGATGCTTTCTATGGAAGATGCACATTTTAAAACCTACCAACTATCATAGACATTAGAGTTCAATAACACAGGGAAATAAAAGTGAGCTGGAATTACGGCACCCCCCTATGTCTTTGTATTAAAATGAAAGCACAAAAGCACAAGCTTGGGGAGAAGTCCTCCATTTCTTAAGTCCCTCCAAGAAACATAAGGAGATCCTTAAAGGAAGGGACAGAGAGCCTAACTTTCTTTAAGAAGTTCATTAAGTAATTTCTTATAATATAAAATGACCAGGTGAGGCTAAGATTTTGCATTAGATTCCAAGTGCAGGACAGACTTCCAAGAACGCATTCAAAAAGAGTTTATTAACCAGTCTCAAAATAAAATAAAACACACGCTCTCACTCTTTCACTCACTCACTCACACACACACACACACACAAAACTAGTAATAAAACTTAATATAAGACTAAAGGATTTGTTTACACTGCTAAATAGGTAGATTCTTAAGAAAACATTGCAGTTTGTTATATCAAATTTTCAAGATATAGGTAGAAAAAATAAACTCTAGAATCTAAACAGCTAGCAAAATAGTAACACCAACTTACATACCAACTGAAAAGATATGTCAATATTAAATACAAAGTGGCAAACCCGACATATATTCCCTTAGTTAATGCAAAGGTCCCATCCAACACCTTGGCTGATCTCAATCAGGTAAGATCAGTCCAAATCACAGGTTGGATAGGAGGTAGCTAGGAATTCTAATTTCATTGTTATCTAGAAATATAAATAGCTATATCCACAAAATCTTCAGGAATTGAGATCAACTTGAAGAAGAGTTTATCTTTATTTTTTTTAACTAATCTAGAAGTTTGGTCAAACCAAAACGTCCCAATGTAAAAACAGCTAATCTTCTCTTAATAGACAGAAAACAATAGTACCCGCAGCTGAAACTGAATGTAACTTTTAGAACCTTTATCTTTTTTTGTATATAAATAAACAAATTAACTATTTAGTTTACTTTGAATTTAGATGCATTCAAAAGTACACAAAGGATACAAAGTCTCTAAGTTGCCCAAATATTTCATCCACTTTCCCAATCTGTTCTTTATTTTCTAAATAAACTGGTGCATTGAAATAAGGCACTTTGTTTTCATCAGTGACACATTTACAAACAATATCATCTTCACAAGGATGCATAAACTGTCCAAGAACTGCAAAGAAGAATAATTAAGAAATTAAATTAGCTAGTTTCTCTTGCTTCTTCCATTTTCCCTAATATTCAATATACTTACTAACTACACTTTCCGGAGGTCCTTGGTCATAACCGCCTCTATTAAAGCCTCCACGTCCTCCTCCACGTCCAAATCCACCTCTTCCACCACCTCTTCCTCCTCTGTTGAAACCGCCACCACCACCACGGCTGAATCCACCACGATTATTTCCACCTCTCCCTCGAAATGACATGTCTTCTTTCTGTTCAACATGCACAAGTCTAAAAATCAACTGAACTTCCAGTTATACATATTAACCAGTATTATCAACTTCATAATACCACTTAGGCAGCTAGTAGATAATATAGTTATTTCAAAGCAAGAAATAGTTTAGCTGTAAGTAATACTTCAGGTTTACGGCATCATAGAAAATATGCACTTTTTACCCCCCCTTTAAATCCTCCATGTGCTGACCATTTTAGGATAGAATACAATAAGACATCAGGTAACACCAATGTATTTTCAATGAATTAGCATGTCTAATATATTGGTATTAAATAGCAGTTTTGTCAGGCCTGCTAACTTCACAGGGTTAAAAGTAAAATTTTACCTGTAGTCAAAATCAAATTTAACTTTTCCTTTTGCCAGACTTCACCAGTAGAACATAACTTTATTGTCATGTTAAACTAAAAGATACTTAATATGTAAAAGTAAGACATCATATCTTGCTTCTATTTCTGATCGATGATCATAATAAATGTTTTGATTTTGTTTTCAAAATCTGGAGGGAATTAATTCTATGTTGGAAGAAAAAGTAGTATACCTATTCCACTTCTAGTAACCTATAAACTCTTTCAAAATATCTTCTTTCTTATGAATTATACAGTTGTACATCTAAAAGTTACCAAATGGGGTTTTGTAATATTGTTTCAATATGCAAATAAAAAACACAAGATACAATACTGTTGGCAACATATTTATCCATTTTTAAATAGTCTTCATTTTACAGATCAGCAAAAACTAATATAAAAAATGTCCACCCAGCTCTTTTGGTCCCCTGAAATGCTACTTCAAATGTCTGCAGTGAGACTTGTTTCTTCTAGTGTGTTGGAATACTGCAGTTCTGGTCACTACAGATACAGAAAATATGTTGAGACTCAGGAAAGAGTGCAGAGAAGTAAAACAAAGATGATTAGGAGGCTAGAGGCTGAAACATATGAATGAATGGTTGCAAGGAACTGGGCATGTCTAGTCTAATGAAGAGATGGACAAGTAGGTGACATGATGGAAATCTTCCAATATTTTAAGGCTGTCACATAAGACCTGAGGGCAAAACAAGAACTAATGGATGTAAACTTATCAAAGAGAGATCCAACCTAGACTTAAGAGAAAGTTCCTGACAGCAAGAACAATTAATCAGTGGAATCAGTGGTGAGATTCAAAAAAATTTACTACTGATTCTGTGGGCATGGCAGGGGAAGGATACTGTAAAATCTCCAGTCAGAGGTGGTATTTGCCGGTTGTCCAAACTACACAAAATTTCCGTTACCGGTTCTCCAGAACTGGTCAGAACCTGCTGAATACCACCTCTGGGTGAAATGCCTTGACTTCAAAAGTTGTGGGTTCTTCAACATTGGAGGTTTTAAAGAAGAGATTGGACAGCCATTTGTCGGGACCCTTCCAACGTTATTTTGTACTCTAATCCAGGGGTCTCCAACCTTGGCCAAGCAAAACAAGGCAAAGCTGAGAAACTCTGGGAGTTGAAGTCCACAAGTCTTAAAGTTGCCAAGATTGGAGACCCCTGCTTCTAACCAATGGAAAACGTGTGAAGCGAGCAGCTGAGATAATGCCAAATAGAACACCTAGTTCTTGAACCTCGGGGCCCTATTTTGTGCTACCTTTCTTAACCATTTTTTTTCAAAATGCCAATGAAGCTCAATAAATACGCAGCCCTGGCTCAAATCGAATTTGGGACTCAAAGTCTCTGAGTCACCCGTGGAGAACTCCCACTCTGGAAGCCAATAGGCAAAAACACAATATTGTTTAAAAGATTTTCTTTTCGTTCAATAATTTACCATCCCAAAAGTGATGTTACATTCTCAACAAAAAGACACGCGTACGGGAATCTTATGCGTGCGCGTGGGTATATATCACAGTCAAACACAAACACACACACACCCTTATACGTTGATCTACGAAGACACCAAGGAGACTTCGGGAGATCGCAATGCAGAAGTAGCTCCTGTTCCCGGACAGACCTCCCTCCTCCCCATCCCCAAAACGGCGACGGTTCCCACCTACCCGAAACTTGTCCCCTTTCCCACGTGGCCGCCACTCTTTCTCAAAAGCGACGCCAACCGCTCACTTTTGATGATCTCAACAAACTGCGCCAGGGGCTTGACCAATCCCAGGCCTTCTGTAAAAGACACCGCCCAGCGTTGATCACGTTTCCGCTTCACAACAATTAATGGAGGTTCCGCCCCCACCCACCCCCAATGTGTAGAGTGCGAGTCATTTGCAGCCAGCTGCAAAGCAGGGGTCACGCGGGAGCAAATTGACAGCCCCAACCAGGACCCCGCTAATATCTCTCATGGGTAATTGAATCTATCTTTACAGCAGGGGTCCTCAAACCTGACAACTTTAAAGACTTCTGGACTTCAACTCCCAGAATTCCTCAGCCAGCTGGCTGAGGAATTCTGGGAGTTGAAGTCCATAAGTCTTAAAGTTGCCAAGTTTGGAGATCTCTGCTTTACGGTGATGGTTCGGTTGAATATCTGTTCTTACACCTATGGAGATTCTCAGTCATCCAGGTCATGATTGCCCTAAAGGTGTTTTTTTCAAGAGGCAACTGGCCTTTCTGGTTTTTCTTTGAAGATGTTTCGCTTCTCTTCTGAAGAGCTGAAGAAGCTTCTTGATGAGAAGCAAAACGTCTTCAAAGAAAAAACAGAAAGGCCAGTTGCCTCTTGAAAAAAACACCTTTGGGACTCACACCGTTCTTTCTATAATGATAGACAAAGAAGACTCTTTGTTTCGTCTTTCTTTCTTCTGTTTTCCATGCTGCAAGCCGATCTGAAAAACATTGATGTTAATTTCTTCTGAATAATAAATTGAAATTTTCCAAACAGCTGAAGATACACAAATGACTTGTCTTCTGGTTTATGTGAATAAATTACTACATGCTTCATCAGTTAGTCTTGCGTAAATTTGGTTGTAACTTATTAATATTTGAGGCTTTTGCTATACAATTTATTTTTATGTTGTTAGTTTACTGCGGAATAGACAATAGTTTCAGAATTCACTGGTAATCAATTTTATGGTTTTTTAATGTCTTAAATCTAATTTAAATCTAATTTTAAGTATTAGTTTTAATTCCTAATCTTTAAATGCAGTGCTGTATACCTAAGTATGTTATACTTGAACAGCTGGATCTTATATGTTGCAATTTTATGATTCTCAAAATGTTAAAGGCTTCCGTTTTCTCCTTTTTAAGAAATCTTTGGCACTAACATAGTGAGCATTCATTTCAATCCCACTTTTTGATATCACTATCATTCTGGTACAGATTTTGATTTGTTTCTTCCAGCACATCATCAGTTCTGTATAAACTGTTTCACTCTATTTTTTCTTAAATGCTTATTTCCCCATCCCCCAAGATCCATTCTTGTTTATACAAATAATAGTCTGTTCATATTCAGCACCTCTTATCATCCTGGTATCCTTTGCTAATTACTTCAGTCTTACCTTAATAAACCAGATTTATCATGTTTTTATTCTTTTGTGAGGCAAATGCTTAAACAGATTCATGCTTAAATATCTATTGTAAAGAAGCAGATAGTAACCCCAAATATTGCTCACAAATCTGCCTATACAATAATTGAATGGGCATATAAGCACTACTTTAGTATAAAGTAGAGGCCAATTTTTCAATAAACATCTAGAATACAACACAAAATCTATTATATGTAACTGCCTCAAAAAATCCTACTTGTTCGGAATCATAATCTAGAAGCCCATAGTTAAGAGAATTAAATAAAGGACTTCATAATATTTTTTAAAAAATATTTTTTTAAAAGCAGAGTAATTGTAGACCAATAATCTACAGTCTACACACACACTCACACAAACACACACACAGAGGCTTAGTATTCCTTTGAAAGCTCTCATGACTAGATTCAGTTTAAACTGAAAAGGAGAGTTGGGCTTTGCCAGCTGGCACACTCTCCAGGTAGAACAGTACAAGCTTTTGTTACTGTTCCCCCAGCTGGGGAAGGAAAGCAGTGCCAATTAAATAAGTTGAGTGGATTGGGCAATTTGAAAGCTAAACTCTCTATCACAGTTATTTCCTTATGCTTGTCCAATTGTGCTCTACCACATGTTAAATATAGCATCTGGTATGGTTTGTTTGTTGGTTTTTATTCTGAAAATCAGGAAGGATCCACCTGTTAATTTCCTTAACTTGCCCCCTATTAAAACTGTATGGATAGCATTACTTGCTGCCCTGTGTACCAAGGCTGAATAAGACTGGACTATTGGCAAGCACAAGTAAGGCTAACACACTTTTGGTCTAGTGCAGTGGTCCCCAACCTTTCCAGCTTGGCGGCCTGGTCTGGCATGGGTGAGTGTGTGAGAGAGTGGCAGGTACATGTACACGCTCCCTCTGTTCGCTCAAATGGAGCTTCGCATGCATGCACAAGCACCCTCCGCTTGCATAAGTGGAGGATTGCATGCATGTGCAAGCACCCTACACTCTTGTGAGTGGAGGTTCATGCATGAGCACAAGTACCCCCCACTAGCACAAAGAGTTTCACACGTGAGCACAAGTGCTCTTTGCTCAAGCGCCATCTGCTCACACAAGCTTGCCCATTTCTCCAATGGCCCAGGCCACAGCTTGGTAGTGGGCCGCAAGATGGAGGTTGGGGACTCCTTGTCAAACACAAGGCCTGTAGGCCAAATCTGGCCCACAATGTGGTTGAGTCCAGCCCATGGGGCCGTTCTGGAAAATATAAGGGCCCAGTCAAACATACCAGTAATTTGGGAAGTGGCATCAAGCTGGTCACACCCACCCAGTCAGCCATGCCCCGTGAGTGGCATTAAGCTGGCCACGCCCACCCAGTTGGCCACACTCAGCCAGTCAGCCATGCCTGCCCGGCCCCACAAAGTCAACCACAGCCCTGATCAGCCCTCAATGAAATTGAGTTTGACACACACACACCCCGGTATACAGGTTAAGGCATCAGGCTAGAAAGGAGGAGACCATGATTCACGTCCCACCTTAGCCAGCTGGGTAACTTTTGACCAGTCAGTGACTCTCAGACCAACTCACCTCACAGGGCTGCTATTCTGGGGAAAATAAGAGGGGGGAAGGTATGTTGGTTATGTTCTCTAGCCTGAGTTGTTTGTAAAAGTAATAAAGATAGGATACAAATAAATGAAATGAATACATTCAAGAACTGAGGATAACATGTTCAGCCCATAGTTTTCAAGTGCAACCATAAAATATATCATTAATGATTTACAGCTGGTTCTAAATAAACACTTAAAAATTGCACTGGTAAGAAACCTTTGATATATGCAAATATAAAGTTAATCCATTATCTAAAGCTGTTTAACATCAGAGCTGTTTACAGGTAGTCATTCTTCTGTGGCTACTTTTCTCTCTCTCTCTCTCTCTTTTTTTTTGCCTACCAAGGAACATGTGCACTTTGTCCCAGGATTATATCTAATTGTAAAGTAATTAGTCTCTCCTCATTAAATTATAGTCCAGCCTCAAAGAAAAAGAATTAGAAGTAGAGAATGGAACAGGTGGGGAAGATATCCATTACAGAATACTCTTTAAAAATCCTGGTAGACATAGAATATTCTGTTCTAGCATTGATGGGCTAAGGTTCAGAGATCAAGAATGTTGCTGGCTGCCTGGCGTTAAGCAGTCATCATCAATATGTATTTCCTCCTACTTTGGCATTTACTGAAATGGGTTTCAGTCCACAAGGATTGCATCCCCACCCTCTGGAACAAGGTGCATGAGTGCAGCCCCTGGGGGAGAGTGGGTGGGTGGGGAAAACATACCAGAGAAATACCAGACTTTCCCAATAAGTTTCCCCATTGACTTTCTCCCTGCAAACTTTGCACCCAAAAGGTCAGTGGGAAAACTCACAGGAAATCAGAAATAGCACCCACTCCCACAGCTTCCCCTCCTCTAATGGTCATTCTATTGATCTGTCTAAGTAAATGTTTCTGAAAAGATGACCCAATAGAGCCCAGGTTGTTTAGTGTAAATATAAATCTCAGTACTTTGGACACAGAAATACTTATAAAAAACAGAATTCAACCAAACCTGTTATTTAGATTACTGTAAGTTACCATTAATAGTGTATGATGATATATTGTACAATACTTCCAGGAACCATGAGAAGAATGTAGAATGTATAACTGCTCAGCAAGAAGATGTATGTAGTCTGATTTAAATCTTTTCATAAAAAAGGGTGTATTCATGAAGCTCTTACTGCCCAATAAGTATATTGTGAACTAGAGAAGGTTTGGATTGAAACATATTTTATTTCAAAAAAACTAATCAGGCAGTCATTTTTTAAAAAACCCAAACCTCCCCCTTTATTAGTCATAATAAATCATACAATAGGACAAGATTGCAGTCTGTGCCTCTAGCTCCAGCTATAGAATCCAAAGTTACAGATAAGTAAGTAAGTAGAGAGGGAGCGGGGCAGGGAGCAAGGGGAGGAAGGAAGGAAGGAAGGAAGGAAGGAATGAAAGAAGGAAGGAAGGAAGGAAGGAAGGAAGGAAGGAAGGAAGGAAGGAAGGAAGGAAGGAAGGAAGGAGGATACTGGGAATAAGATGTAGCTATTTGACTTCCGGTTTGAGTCTCTTCACTGATAGACCAAAACCGTGATCGTGCACAGTTTTGATCCGTCCTCGCTGCCGGAGCGCCCTGAGCCGGCTGGTTTCGGGGCTAAGCCACCCCTTAGAGGTGGTGAAGAGGGGGGAGACTGCCAGCAGGGTTGAGAGCTGCATCTCTCCTCCTCAGCTGGCCATTACTCCCTTTCCCAAAGGCAGTTGCAGAGGTGGTCAGAAATGGCCACCTCAAAGAAGAACTCGACTGGAAAAGAATGTGCAGGAGGAAGATAAGAAGAGAAAGTCTTGGTTGACTGAGTCAAACTGCAAAAGCAACAACTCAAGGTACCCTGGAATTTAAACTAAAAAAAAATTACATTGTTCCCAAAGAAGATTTTGAAGCAGTGAAGGAGAGAGGGAAGGGAAAGGATTTGGTTTTTTTTTCC